GAGAAGAGATAAATGTATTGTATACATATCATGAAGACAATTCAAGGAACAGAAAGCATAGCCAATGAATACTTCGCTGCCGCAGACTTCGTTCACAAAGTGGTCCAAAAACAGCTGGAGCCCATGGAAGTTGACAGACCAACTGCCAACATGTGATGTTACGGTTTAACCTTGGACGAACACAAGCTTAACACAAGCTTAACACAAGCTTAACACAAGCTTAACACAAGCTTAACACCTGTCTCTTATACACATCTAGATGTGTATAAGAGACAGCCTTTCTCTCCTCTACGTGGGAACAGGAAAAAAATCAGAAGAGAGAAAAATAAGTCCAAACAAAATCAGCAGCAAAAAACAAATAAGAAATGGTGAAAAAAAAAATAACCAAAAAGGTCACCAGCTGAGATAGTTGGCTTGCCCCCCCCCCCCCCCCAACCACCACCACAACAGAGCCTGGCTGGAATAAGAGTCATGTCATCCGTCACTACCGTCTTCCCCCGAACATAACGCATATGCGTTGTATTCGAGTTTTTGAAAATTTTGAAAAATTGAGCAGAACGCACATGCATTGTATTCGAAAACTTGGGCACTACTCCGGGACTGAGTAGAATCTACGAAGGAAGCAACCTAGCTGCCTAAACCCGTAAGCGTGGTGTGTAGACGTGGATCACTGCCTGATCTTGTTCCGGGGTGTTTGTTGGGTCAGTGGCAGGTACACCTAGTGTGAGGCTGAATTGAGAGAAGAACATAGCGTAGTAAGAATACAATTGTCCCCCGTATATGAGGAGAAAACAGATGGATTTCTTGGGGAGGGGGGGGAAGAAAAAAAAAGACCTAGACGCCTAGGCCAAAAAAAAAAACAGGGCCATGGCCCTCCAGGCCGCCCAAACTAAAGGGGCGCGTGGCCTGGGGGCCAGTAGGCACAAGTGTGCCCCCCCTAGGGCCCATGTAGGAGGGGGCCCAGCATGCTATATTGTGTGAGAGGTGTGAACTTCTTTGCGAAACTGTTTCATCGCGTCTGAGTCTTGAGATGCAAACGCTGCAGAAGTTTGTTCTGTTTACCATTTATTTAGTCACATCACGGCCCGACCTCCAGATTTAGATTCTTGCCAGGTTTAGATGAGTCTCCTCTTCAAAAAAAAANTGCAAATTTGGGAAAAATACAGGCCTAACACTAACTGAATTTCCTACTGCTACTCTAACTGCGAATAGCAGGCCCGGGCTACCCCTAGGACAGACGGGCCCTAAGGGCCTATGCTGATAGACGGTCCTATAGCCTATAGCCGGGTAAGGTAGAGGCCGAGAGGCCAAAACGGAATCGGTACTGGTCAGTCAGTCAGTCCGGTCTAGGTCGAGTCTAGGCTAGTTGTAGTCTATAGATAGAATGGGG